ACGGTAGGGAACAGGTGAGAACGATGGGCCATCTCCCACCCCAGGAGCGACCCCTGCTGGTGAGGCCCTGCATTGGCACTTGCTGAGCACAGCTGCATGGCTCTCAGCCTCCTGGGGGGCCGCCAGGGCCGGGAGGATGCTGGCTGTGCAAGAGGGTGTAGGTGGGCTGCCAACTAGGATAGGACCCAAACCCCAACTCTGAGGTGCTCCACGCAGGGGGTCCCCTGGCTGTCCCCACAGCTCCCACGGTGCCCAGCCACCCTGCCAGAGCTTCCACAGGCCACCGCAGGGCTGCTGTACCCCCACCCCGCCCCCCAGCCAGCAGGTGGGGCTGGGGGTGGAGGGCGTGCCCAGTCCGGGGCAGGGACGACTCACGGACGGTGTCTCAGGAGCCACCGAGGGAGCGAGGGAGCGAGGGAGCGCTGGGCGGGGCGGGGCTGCTGGCCCCGGACATGAGAAGAGCGATGGACTTGTTTGGCAGCCACACTGTAACATGTATTTAAAAGCATTAAAAATAGCTGCTGCTGTGAACCCCCGCTGCCCGTGGGGGCGGAGTTTGTGGGACCACGCGTGGGTGGTGCGGCTCCTGGGTTCTGCTCAGGATGCCCCAGTGGGGCCAGCCCTGGGCCTCCGGCCGCTCAGCTCCGAGTCTGGGGGGCCAGGAGCAGAGTCCTGGGCGCAGGTGGAGCCGGCTCCGGGGGAGGCGGAGTCCTGGCCGCCAGGAAGGCAGGTGGAGAAGGCGAGAGCCCTCCTCGCCGGGAGTGTTAGGGGTCCTGAGGCCGAAACACACCTTCCTTGATTCTCCAGCTCAACAGTGCCCGCCTGACCTCCCGCCCGCCAGGGCGTCTGGTTAATAAGCAGAGCGGTTGGGGGCTCCCGGTGGGGGCCACCCCGTTAGTTTCCAGGTTGTCGCACAATCGCACTTAAGACGGTTTCGGCTGTTTCCAGGGTCTGTCTCTGTCGTAAACTGAAATGTTAACAGAATAGCAGCTGGGCCTCCCGGGCTCAGCCACGCAGGGCGAGGGCAGGGCTAGAAGGTGGACTTGGAGTGTCCGAAGATGCAGATGGGGAAGTGCTTGACGTGGGAGGACCACTGGGCCGCCAGCTGGAAGAACTTCACGTCGTTCCACTCCACGCCGTCGATGAGGACTGCGGGGACAAGACCGCCTGACCCGCCGGCCGTGGGCCAGCAGCGCGCCCACC